TGAGGCTTAAACATCCTTCATAAAAAAATTTAAATTACACCATATTTTTGGTGACAGGTTTTATCATCTTCTCGGTTGTGTGCTGCAAGACCTGACTACCCCTCCCCCCCATGGATGAGGCAGCTACAGCTGTCATCTCTACTCTTCTTTTACCTTCAGCCTCATATGGGTTCCTAGAACACCAGCCTGACAGAAGAGCAGCCACTGCCATACTGAGAGGTTTGAAGGCATTTTTGTGGCTTTAGTGACAGCCTTGGTAACAGTTCAAATTGCTTTGGCATGCTGAATGAGGGCCAGCAGAAAGCCACACAAAGGTCAGTGACACTTTGGCAAGTTTCCCCACTCATCTAACAGGGCTGTCTAGCTTGAGTCTAGATTCTAGATTCCTGGCATGCAACAGGGAAAAATTCTAGTTGCATAGTTGGGAAGTGAATTCAAAGCCAAACGTAGATATGGCCAGTGACCCTTTCTGTGATCAACGTTGGGGGATGAAAACCATGTTGCTGAGACAAAAGGACAAGGAACACATCCTGAAGCCTCCCAGGTTCTGCGCGTTCTTTGAGTGGCTCAGTTGTGCTTTCCCATATAGGAAGTAAAAACAACAATGGCTGTTTTCCTGGGTTTATTGTGAATATTCTTATAAGGGGCAAGAAAGAGGAATGCACTGTGTAGAAATGTTGATTGCACACCCATCTGTCTCTCTCTCTCTCTCTCTCTCTCTCTCTCAAGTTAGGTTGTTTGTGTGTATGTTAACCTCTTTCTGCTTTCAGGGTTTTCTTTATTTTTATGCTACACCACTTTGAACTTTTTGGGAAAGTGGTATATAAATGTTGCTAAGGCAGTAAGTAGGAAATACCAGAAGATGGTATGCAAATGAAAAGAATGCTGGGTTCTTCAGGAGGGAATACCTATGTATATTTAGTAGGCTAAATACTAAAGTGGGGAGACAACCATTTTGGAAAGGACTAAACACAGGGTGAAATGGCTCGACAGTGTCATCGAAGCTACCAACGTGAATTTGACCCAACTCTGGGAGGCAGTGAAAGACAAGAGGGCCTGGTGTGCTCTGGTCCATGGGGTCACGAAGAGTTGGACATGACTTAACGCCTAAACAACAACAAACACAGGGCTATTTCTGCATTTGAGGAGATCCTGTGGATACATCCCACATGTCTCAGGGACACTTCTATTCCTACTTTTATTTTCTGCCTGGCCTTGAAGTAGTTGAGAGGGTTTGAGGGAGGAAGAGGCTCCTAGAACATTGGAAGTAAGTAATTACCAGGAACTTATTGAAGGAGCACTGGGAAAGAGGGCCTTTGGTAGCTGCTTAGAGATACCCTCTATTTGCATGCATCAATCAAATTTGAGCTCTTGCTGTTCTTGTTTGGAAGTGGGGCACTTTTCAATGGTTTAATGTATACTTTATTCCCCAGTAGTTTGGTTTGAGTTTCCAGTGTCCCTATTCACCCATAGCCTAAAATGGTGTTCCCTGTAACATTAACACAGCATTTGCCTTTTATCCTCTGCTTTGCTTGAGAGGCACATCTGTTTCTGTAGTACAGAATGGAAGTTGTTAATGCTCTAGCTGCTTGGATGTGCTTTTGCACTTGCATCTCTACTGTGTGTGCCTCTAAGTTAGGGATGGGCAACTTCTGCAGAGTTGCCCCCCCCCCCAAGGAGTCTCAGGGGATCACATGGACTGCCCCAGAACCAACACATGGAGAAAAAAGAAAGAAAGAAAACAGACGTGGCTGGGAGGCTTGGTTTGGAAAAAGTGGTGTTTTATGGGTACTAAATATTATAGGGTGGCATTGAAACCTATTTATAAAGTGCATCACTGTCCTTGGAGACTTCTAGGTATGGTGATTAAGGAGGAAGCTTTGGGTGAGAGAGGGGACCCCTTCCTAGTGCAGAAATCTGACAGTGTCAGGGGTGGCAAAAACAGCTTTGCCCATCCTTGCTCTAAGTCAGTGGTTCCCAATCTTGGGTAACCCAGATGTTCTTGGACTTCAACTCCCAGAAACTTTCACCACTAGCATGTTGCCTCAATTTTCTTGGTGTTCCAGTCTAAGAACACCTGAATTACCCAAAGTTGGGAACCACTGCTCTAAGAGAATAACAAGAGAGATGGAAGAAAGTGGTCATTTCCCCATGGTGGTTTCATCTCACCATGAACCTCATTTATTCCCCTTGTAGTTCTTTGGTCACCAGTTTGGCTTACTCTTGGCATATGGTAGCCTGTTTATGCACTTTCATATTCATACCTGCCTACTCTAAATGAATTCAAGTCTCCAGGGCTAAACTAATTACATCCAGGGGTATTAAAGGAACTGGCAGAAGTAATTTCACAACCATTGGCAATAATATTTGAGAATTCTTGGAGAACAGGAGAAGTCCCCACAGACTGGAGGAGGGCAACTCTTGTCCCTATCTTCAAAAAGGGGGAAAAGAAGGCCCAAATAATTAGCGCCCAGTCAGCCTGACATGAATTCCTGGAAAAGTTGTAGAGCAGATCATTAAACAGTTTGTTATTACTTAGAAAGCAAAGCTGTCATCACTAAAAGTCAACACTTGTTTCTCAAAAAAAAAGTTATGCCAGACTAATCTGTTCTCTCTTTTTGATGGAGTTGCAGGGTTAATAGATGAAGGGAACACTGTGGACGTAGCATATCTTGATTTCAGTAAGGCCTTTGACAAAGTTCTCTATGAAATTCTTGCAAGAAAGCTAGTAAAATGTGGGATAGACAGTGCTACTGTTTGGTGGGTTTGTAATTGGTTGACTGACTGAACCCAAAGGGTGCTCATCAATGGCTTCTCTTCATCCTGGAGAGAGGTAACTAGTGGGCTCTGTTATTCAACATCTTTATTAATTATTTGGATGAAGGAATAGAGAGTATGCTGATTAAATTGGCAGGTGATACCAAATTGGGAGGGGTTGCTAATTCCCCAGAGGACAGGATTAAAATTCAAAATGATCTTGACAGATGAGGTAAAGGTAAAGGTTCCCCTTGACAATGTTTGTCCAGTCGTGTTCGACTCTAGGGGGCAGTGCTCATCCCTGTTTCCAAGCCATAGAGCCAGCGTTTTGTCCGAAGACAATCTTCCGTGGTCACATGGCCAGTGCGACTTAGACACAGAACGCTGTTACCTTCCCACCGAGGTGGTCCCTATTTATCTACTTGCATTTGCATGCTTTCGAACTGCTAGGTTGGCGGGAGCTGAGACAAGCGACGGGTGCTCACTCCGTCACGTGGATTCGAACTTACCACTGCTGGTCTTCTGACCCTGCAGCACAGACTTCTGTGGTTTAGCCTGCAGCGCAACCATGTCCCTTTGACAGATTAGAGTCCTGGGGAAAAATTAACAAAATGAATTTCAACAGGGAGAAATGTAAGGTCCTACACCTAGGCAGAAAAAATGAACTGCACAGATCTATGATGGAAGATATCTGGGTAGACAACCGTACCTGTGAAAGGGATCTAGAAGTCTTGGTAGACCACAAACTGAACATGAGTCAGCAGTGTGATGGAGCTGCCAAGAAAGCCAATGCAATTCTTGGTTGCATCAATAGAGGTATAGTGTCTAGAGCAAGGGAAGTGATAGTACCACTCTATTCTGCTTCTGTCAGATTGAAGAAGTATTGGGTCATTCTTGGTTAATCTGCAGTATTGGCTTGTCCTTTTTTAGATGTAGTGACACATTTTTATGTGTGGGAACTATATATATTTAGACTGCAGCTGTCACTGTTTCCAGACAGCATTGTGAATGGTCAAATATTATGGAAGTTGCAAGCCAAACCATCCTGGCAGACACAAGATTCCCTACACTTGGCATGCAGGAATATTGAATGAGTTTAGCTGAGCTCTACTGGAGTACAGTGGGGTCTTGACTTAAGAACGGCTTGAGTTAAGAACATTTTGACTTAAGAACCACTCTCATTGGAAAAAATTGACTTGACTTACATACTTAGATTTGAGTTAAGAACTGAAAAAAGCCACGTGGGAGGCAGGGAAAGTGCAAAATTTGAACTTTCAGTTAACTGTTGGCCAGTAAAAAGGGTGCCTGTCTGCTTCCTCACTCCTCCCAGCGTTTAGAGAGTGGATTGGGAGACAGGCTTCGGACTGCCTGGTACTGCCTGGACTGTATTTTCCCTGCCTTCCCTGAACCTTTCTTGACCTAAGAAAAAAAGAAACAAAATATCCCCCTCTAGTGGTCGAAGGCAGAATAGCAGCTTCCCATTAGTTTCTATGGACGGAAAAGAGCAGATACGGATCAAATGGTTCTCAATGCATTCCTATGGGAAATGCAGATTTGACCTGCAAACTTTTTGACTTGAGAACCGCCTTCCAATACGGATTAAGTTCTCAAGTCAAGACCCCACTGTATTATGCATTTTTGGTCTTTTATTCTGTTAAATATAAAGTTTTCTAATACTATTCAGATACGCACTGCAGTAAGATAGAAAGTAGATAGTCCTCCCTTTTTCTTTCCTTTTTCCTTTTTTTTTTTTGAATTTCAAAGAAGACAAATATACGAGACATACATGAAATAGTTGATCCCATAGGTAAATAGTTGTTACCTGTTATGTCATGTTTATATTCTTATGAAATGTTTACTGTTACTTACAGAAGGAGCCTCCATATTCCAATGAAGTTAACTCACCATTTCATAGAAAAATACAATTCTTGGGACATGAGTGATAAAAACATAGACACACACACAAAATGTTTGCTGCTGTATAGATTTAGCTTCCAACCCTTAGCTTCACTAGATTTTGAGTTGTTATGTAAGCCACATTGAAATTGGTAGGTCTTCTACTGAGAGGGAGAATTCCAGCCTTTGGTGCTTAGCTTCTCATCTCCTGTTGGCCCTTTTAGATTCATTTTCATTTTAACATTCAGGATGGTTTCATAAGGCAGAAGCAAGACTGCAGTGCTTGCTCCTTCTGGCAAAGATGCTGGCTGAGACTTCATCTGCTCTATTGGATTGCAGCATAATCTATTTCAAAAGCTTTGCTGTGCTAGTCTGAAAGGGTTTTTATGGACTGGCAGCATGGGTGGCCCATGGAAAGGTAATGCAAATATTAATATTACTATGTTACAGCAGTGTTAATGTTTTTATCCTGTAGTGTGAGTGGGAAAGTAATGGCATCGTAGATTACAGATTTGTGTGTGTTCACATTGTTCAGTTTTTTTCCCTTGGAAAGGTATCTGCTAAATTAACCTGGTTATGTAATAGGTGTGTGTTCCTCTTTTTTTAACAAGGAAAAACAATCAGGTTGCCAGACTCCATGTTCTAACTGATTACAGAGAGAAAACATTCAGTAAACAAAAATCTTTCTCTCTGTGTGTGCGTGCATGTATGTGCATGTGTCTGTTTATGCACATGCATGCAAATATGCAAGTGTGATGAATGGGGCAGCAGAGGATAGTAACAGTGATGTGCATTTCCAAATTAACTACCAAAGCAAAGATATTTATAGGGGATTACTGACTACTCCTAGTTGAGGTTTCCGAGATTGGAATCTTAGGTTGTGTAGGAGTTTAAATACTGGACCTCCTATGGATGTGTACGCTGAAGCTAATGGAGCTGGGAATACCACTCCATGTTTGGAGCCCATAATTAATTAGAGAAAGCTACTGTCTGTAGATTAGTTTCTATTGTGACAGATCTGTGAGTTTCATGTTTCTTGTGTGTTTAGATACAGACTGAACCTGTATAATCTGCATTGCATTGCAAGTCAATAGCCATGTAATCCATATTGCAGATGGGTGCAAGCACTGGTATGGTATTATCACAACGTGCATTTTATTAGGACTGCTGCTTGTTTGATGTTATAAAGTCATTTGAGGAATGATCCCCTGTGTAGATGTTTTGATGCAGCACAATTCTTTGTATAGGTTTACCATAGGATAACTTACTTTAGAGCTGCCAGTCAGTCAGCAGTGAGTGCAGATGCAGTGTTACTTGCTTGCTATATTTGAATCCTGCCTCTCCTCTGTTTTGCTCAATGTGATGTACATGGGTCTCTGGTCTCTTCCTACACATTTTATCCTCGCAACAAAGATGTGAGGCAGGTCAGACTGAGAGTGTGTGATTTGCCCAAGATCACAAGAGTTCAAGGCCTAGTACCTGGAGAAAAGTCCTAGTTAGTAAGTTAAAAAGCCATTGAGGACACACTGCTACACCATTTTTCTTCACTCCCGGGAGTGTAACTCAATATGGAATTTTATTACAGGCTTTTTATTTCCTGGGCCATCATTTCACCTTGTAATTTTACTGTATAAGGAAAACAAAAATAAATACAATAAACAAATAGCCAAATAGTTTGGGTGTCACTGTGGCAGTTGAGATGCTGATGGATGGCATCAGTAGTAAGGAGACCCAGAGTAAATGGAATGATGAAGGGCCAGCAGTCAAAGCACTAGCTCTTGTGAGTTTGGTCACTATTCTGTAGTCTTTTCTGTAAATTAGCTTGGACTGCAAGGTCTCAGGGAAGTTTTAATGTCTGGTGTTTTAGTTCTAATATATAATGACTAAACAGAGATGCGTCATTTGTGTACAGAAGTTATTTGCAACTGGTTTTCAGTAGCTACATCAGGCTGGTATTCAGTTAATAACCTAAGGCAAAGTGCAGTTCCTTCCTGGAATTACAACTGCCTTGTCCAGCTGCAGTGCCCGTGCTTCTAAATATTCTAAAGCCAGGTGGGGTGGAGGGGATGGCAAGCACCTGTATCTTCTCCTTTGTCCCTTTCATGATACACTTAACCCCCCAACTCCATGTGGTTGAGGAATAAAAAGGTAAAATCTTACTAGACGCAGCAAGTAGATTGAGATGATCAGTGAAAAGAAGTGCAAGAGGCACAATGGCTGCCTTGTGTCTAGAGTTTTTAAGGTGTAGTTATAATCTGTTGACAAGATCTTGGAAACCTTTCTCATTCGGACCATATCCTTCTAGACACACAACTGCTTTTGAATGCTCATTGAGGGTGTGAATCAATGCGGGGAGCAGCTGGCTGCAAATCAGTTGTCTGAGTGATCCTGAAGAGTGCTATGTTTGTTTTAATGTTACTTTAAGCTCACATGCTAGTAGATAAGATTGTATCTTACCTTTTAGTTATTAAAAAGAAAACTCTGTGAGGTCAATAAGCAGCATGAGTTGAATGCCTAAACACATTTGAGTGTAAATAAGCAAGCAAATTTATTTTAAATCAGTAGGACCTCTTTATTAAATAAATTGTACTGGGGTTCAAGTGCCAGAGATTTTTTTTTCTTATTAGCACAGTGATGTGAGATTTTTTTAAATTTAAAAATGCTTTTCTTGACTTTCTTTGAGATAAATAGGCTCGCAACATTTTACAGCTACATGCTTGCAGCTCAACATTGGATATGACAGTTATGAAGATCTTTTGTGCTTCTGAATAGAAATTTAAACCTGTACCTGATGACTAAATTCACTCTGTATTAATTATTATTTGGTCAAATAATGTTAAGTTTTCTGAATATGGAACTCTTATTTGTTGTTAATATTGGGAACCCAAGACTCTTTCCCCCTTTTTATTCTATAATATTCTGTCATGATATTTCACTTTCTGAAAATGTCATAATCTACATTTGGCACTCTTAAAATAAGTGGTTGCTATTTAGATTCTTAATGATGTTTCTGTAATAGAACAGATAACCTTCTGTCCACTTGAGAACATAAGCATTAATTTCCTAATGAATCTAAATATGCAGTTTATGCATCTTTAAAATTTACATAAGAGAGATCAAAGCATGCCTCAAAATTTGTATTAAGACTTTTCATGTTTAAAATGAAATATTTATGCAGCCTCTAATTTAGCTCTTGCCTTATTACCCTGTTTCCCCTAAAATAAGACCTAACCTGAAAATAAAACCTAGTATGATTTTTCAGGATGCTTGTAATATAAGCCCTACCCCCCAAAATAAGCCACAGTTAAGTGAAACCCCACCCTCCATCACTGGGCAGCAACCAGAATAAGATGACATAACTACATTTGAATAAATGTAGATTGAACATGAAAAAAATAAAACATCCACTGAAAATATGCCCTAATGCATTTTTTTGGAGCAAAAATTAATGCAAGACCCCGACTTATTTTTGGGGAAACAGGGTATTTGAAGTCAAAAGCTTGTATACATGTTACATAAAATCAGAGGTAATGGAGAGGTGGATGTCTAGATTAAGTGATATGCCAGATGCTAGTCAAGTTATCTTCTGTTACTTAGTCATAATTAGATATTGTCAAATAGTCAAATTGAAGAATTGCCATCATGTCATTCCTGATGAAATGAAAATGCTGGAACTGCTTCTGTCGGTGTAATGGGGTGGTGGTGGTAACTTTACCTCCTCCCTGCTCATAGCTCTTTTTGGAGGTTGAGTAAACAATCCAGGATTTCATTTCAAGTGGCACAGAAGACAAAAGGACAAAGAAAGTACTGTTGACACTAGTGGCATCTGCTAACATGGCATTAGATGTAGTCCTTTGCTTTTGATATTTGATGTGTTGCTTTACTTCTGTTTTTATTTAATTTCCTGTTTATTTTGTTAAAATTGGTAGATTGCTCAGCTGTTGCCCCTACCTGGAGAAGAAATTCCTAACAGCAGTGAATCATGTCTATCTTTAAAATAGACTACTATAATGCTCACTGTATAGTGCTGTTGTCGAAGTCAGTACAGAAACTTCAGACCTCCAGACTGATCACAGATACCAGCAAATACTGTATGAGCATATATCCCCAGTATTGGCACACCTTCATTGACTCCCTGTTAGTTTCCATGCCCAATTCAAGATGCTGGTTATGAGGCCCTTAGTAGTTTAGGATTTCAGTACTTGGAATATCTCTCCCACAAAACAGCTGTCCATAGATGTCCACATTTGTTTTAAGTTTATTTAATTCTATTTAAATGTAGGTTTTTAGCTAGTGACATAATTTTATCTGCTTTGTTTATTTTCGGGTATTTATTGTATATTATATTCTATAGTGTTGATTTTAATGTGATTTGATGTGTTGTAAACTGCCAGACAGTGTTTGCACCGCAGGGCTATATACAAGTTTAAATAAAATTAATTAATTAAATAAATAAAAAATAAGTAAAATGAAATTGATGGATGGATGGATGAATGAATGAATGAATGAATTAAACCAACAAACCATTTTTGCCTGACTTTTATTGTTTCAGGATAAAAGACAAAAGAGAATAATTATTCAATAAACTGTTCACATATATGAATAGTTATTTTAATATTGCTAACATAATATCATTAAATTATAATTTCATTATGTTTGAAAGATAAACTCACAATAATGGTTCATCTAAAAACTGGTTAATTTGAAGATTAGTGGATATTATTTTTTATAACAGAGTAAACACCTTAAAGAGGGACGTGGTGGTGCTGCGGGCTAAACCGCAGAAGCCTGTGCTGCAGGGTCAGAAGACCAGCAGTCGTAAGATCGAATCCACGCAACAGAGTGAGTGCCCGTTGCTTGTCCCCGCTCCCGCCAACCTAGCGGTTGGAAAGCATGCAAATGCAAGTAGATAAATAGGGACCACCTCGGTGGGAACGTAACAGCATTCCGTGTCTAAGACGCACTGTCCATGTGACTACGGAAGATTGTCTTCGGACAAATGCTGGCTCTATGGCTTGGAAACGGGGATGAGCACCGCCCCCTAGAGTCGAACACGACTGGACAAAAATGGTCAAGGGGAACCTTTACCTTTTTAAACACCTTAAATCCTTTTTGGTTTGTAGAGGAAAGGTGGAATTTAAACATAAATATACAGTATTAAGTACATAATATATGTCAGAGGGAAGTACTATGTTAGACAATAATGTAACAATGAAGAGGAAATAAAATAATGTAATATTATCTTAGGAAAAGCTGTTTCTGCCACTGAGGGTGGCTACAGTATTCATATATTAGTCATTCACACTCAGACAGCACTACTTGCATATTATGGGAATTATTTTTCCTTATGGAAATAAAAGCAGTTAATCCCCAACACCTACTCCCACACTCAAAACTGCTCCTTTCAAAATAGCTTTATACATAGGATAGCCCATTCCTCTTAGATTCTCTGAATGTAATGCAGAGCTGTGAAATCTGTGACCCATGAGATACCATCTACCCCCACTGGTCAAGGCATTTTGTGTCCCCATTGAACATTTTACTTTTCACCACATTTTTTCCTCATATACTACTGTGGCCTCAGTTGAAAATGATGCAGATATTCAACATGCATAATTTTTCTAGAAATGGGGATTTCATTACATTTGGAAGAAGATCAGAAAGAGAATCTGCAAGGCTCTCAACCAGTAAACAGTGGCAAAAACATTTTGAAGTAATACACATTGGGATGGCAAATATTACCCTACCGCCTGAGAAAGGAGAAAGCAAGCTGTTGCCCTAAGCATAAGTTCTTCCTTCCCATAGCCCTGTCTTGCTTCATCCTTCTATTATGGTTGCCCCCTCCCCCACCATGCCTTGCCTGGACTCCTCTGTGTCTCACAAAGCAGCATCTACCGTGGCTGAAGGAGGGGAGAGTGTAAGGATGAAGCAGGGGTGGTCTTGTTATGGAGAAAGGAGGGGGTGCTAGGAGCTGGCACTCCATCACTTGTACATTAGGTCACCTCACTATGCCTAACAGACAAGATCAATATACATTCACAAGTATATATTTCCTTCTTGCCAATTGCAAAACTATTAAGTACAGAAACTAGTATCAACAAACTGTGGTGGTGTGGCATAATAGACTGAGTAAGATCTAGGAGCGTAGGTCACGGAGACTTCCTGGTGGTAGCAATAGATAGAACCACTGCTTAAGAATCTCACATATTTTGAAAACTCTGTTCGGGTTGACAGAAGTCAGATGACAACACCTATGCATACACATAGCTTTGAAAAATTACTTTCTCACTTTTTTTCACTGACCAGCGATTGCAGAATATTGCAGTTCTAATCCCCCCCCCAAAAAAAAAATACTGGCTGTGCTTCATGAATATATCTGCAAAACAGGAACAAAAATAGGATACCAGACTCAGAATTATTATAAATAACTACTGTACTAATGTAGGGGGAAATGATTTATATTTTGAAAGATATTTTAAAATGCTTTTTATTATTACTAGTGTTGAATTATACTACATAATAGCCAAACTCTTGTTGGTGCTTTATGCTAGCATAAGGGCAATTGCATTAAGACTTGGCAATAAATTATCATTTATTAATGAGGTGCTGGTTTCATTCCTGGGCTTCCACCTGGTCACACAGCAAATGCCTGGGAACTGAACCAGCAGTTTGTTAATTAACTGCAATTTACCATTAAGAGTTAACATGATTTTCCTTACATAACCGTAAATTGCCAGCATGATCCTGTCAGTAGTAATAATGACGGAATTAAATAATCTCTCTCCAGAGTGCCTTTCTGAGAAGGAAATTGGTTTCTCTTTAAAAAACAAAACAAAAAAAACCCCAAAACAAAACACAGCCAAGGGTCAATTGTCTCTGGAGAGATCTTCCTACCTATGACACAAAATTATTTCTTTTTTAAAAAGTCAATTGATTCTGCAGTCACATATACCAATTCAAAAGTCAGTACTATTGAGTTCTATAGGGCTTGCTTTATACTTTCCTTATTGGCTAAGTAAGATGAACTGCAGCCTGGAACATAAAATGTTTTTGAAGGGGGCTTCTGCATTTATTGAAATGACAGATTATCTTTTGTAGAGAAGAGTTTGGGCTCCTTGGGAATATCAGAGCCAGAGTTTTGCATTTTTGCCATTAATGTGTCACTTTGCATTATAGTTCTATATTTATATTACATTTACACAAGGCCTTTAAAATGTCAATCAAACTGTCAGTGATTTCACTCATGGCTAAAACAGAGTTGGACAGAACATGAATTGTATCTTTTGCTTCATATATTTTCTACTATGAGGACTACAGGCAACTCAATGGGGGAGGAGGCGGAAAATGTGCAATTCAGGCCTGCTAAAAGTCTAAACTAGCACCATGTGGCATGTCTAGAATCTGGATAAAAGTCAGCCAGTTGGGCAATATGACAGTTGTACATGTGCCCCAATGCCCATGTCTGGTTTTCAGAGTTACAGAAATAACCCGCAAGAGGTGGCATTAAGAAATATGCACCAGGAGTGAATGATTGTTCACTAGGGCTTTAGCACTTAACATTAAATAGTTAGATGTTTGAAAAATTCTCATTTGTGCAGCAAACTTTCAAAATACGTACTTTTTTGTAGCAAGTTACATGTCAAAAATGCATTTTAAAAGACCCCACCCTTTATTTCTCTTGTAAGAGGGAATTTTTTTTATATAATATGATGCCTGCTACAGCATTGGTATGTATTCTAACAGCCTTCTCCAACCAGATGCCCGCCAGAACTGGGAACTCATACACTCATACAAGGACTGCACGTTTAGTTAGACTTTATTATATTCTGTTAAAGCATACCATTTTTTCTTGTTTTCTTACTCTCAGCCCAACTGGATCATCTTGTAAAGGCCTTCCAGAAATACCAGGAAAAAAAGATGGGTTGCACAAGCAAGCTTCTCCATCCAGAATGAAATTGGGAGAGCTGTCTGCCAAAAGACAAACATGTAAGCTCTGTATCTTTTCATTTTTCTTTCTTTTTCTTTTTTTTTCAAGAGAGATGCAGTTCTGTATGATTATTTTTATATTGCATTTATAGTTTTCAAACAAAAAATCCAAGAAGCTGTCTTTCTGTATTTTCTGTTGATAGGATTGGGGCCCTTAATTCTGCCCTTTGCGATTTTTCCAGATATAGGGTAAATACATGGAGCAGATCTCACTGGCTGGTTCTCACAAGAAGGTCCTGCTTGCAGCTTTTTACATGATCAAATTATGCTTCTAGTGAATGCAGGTCTCACACAGATGCTTCATTATGAACTTTGATCATGCAGAAAGGGGTTCGCACATGTAGGACACAACTGCATTATAACTTACAGTGATAAATTACCACTAATTAACAAATATCCCACTTGAATTTCTGGTGCCAAGCCAAGTCACCCAATTGATGCACAATGGGGACTCCTAAGAAGGAATTGTTAATTAGCGGCAATTTGTTATTGTGAATTATACCCTCCTGTTACTAATATTAACTCTACAAGAGGATTTTGACCACAGATAAACACTCATGGAGTTCCTTCTTTATCCCAGTGCATGGGAGGCAGGGATAGTGAAAGCAGGAAGGTTTATGGAAAAGCCAGTCACTGTATAGTTTCTTCTTAATTTGTTTGAGGGCAACAGAAAAACTGTAAATATGACCTTTTGTATCTTACTTTAAAACTCAAAATTTTGCATATTAGTTGTGTTTATTAAATTTTGTATCTTGGCCATATTCCAAGAAGAATACCATAGTTCAATAACTGCTTTAAAAAAAACAGGTGTGTTGTGTTTGGTTTACATTAGGTATACACAGTATATCACAGAAGTGAGTACAGTAGTTCAATAATTGCTTTAAAAAAAACACAACAGGTGTGTTGTGTTTGGTTTACGTTAGATATACACAGTATATCACAGAAGTGAATACACCCCCTCACATTTCATAAGTATTTTAGTATACCTTTTCATGTGACAACACTGAAGAAATGACACTTGGCTACAATGTAAAGCAGTGAGTGTGCAGCTTGTATAACAGTGTAAATGTGCTGCCCCCTCAAAATAATGCAACACACAGCCATTAATATCTAAACCACTGACGACAAAAGTGAGTACGCCCCTAAGTAACAATGTCCAAATTGGGCACAAAGTGTCCAGATTTTGTGTGGCCACCATTATTTTCCAGCACTGCCTTAACCCTCTTGGGCATAGAGTTCTCCAGAGCTTCACAAGTTGCCATTGGAGTCCTCTTCCACTCCTCCATGACAACATCACAGAGCTGGTGGATGTTAGAGACCTTGCACACCTCCACCTTCCATTTCAGGATGCCTCACAGATGCTCAATAGGGTTTAGATTTGGAGACATGCTTGGCCAGTCCATCATCTTTACCCTCAGCTTCTTTAGCAAGGCAGTGGTCGTTTTGGAGGTGTGTTTGGGGTCGTTATCATGTTGGAATACTGCCTTACGGCAGACAATGAGTAAACCACAAACCAGGATGGAGAATATCAGTTTGCAGTGGATTTGCAAACAATAGATTAGATTAATTATGGCTCAGCATTACTGTTTTTAGAAAGCCTTAATTGTTTGTAAATCCTCTCCACATGTACACATACATAGGCTGGGATTTTTTGATAGCAGAATCATTGTACTCAAGCTATTTTTTCTTTACTCATTGCTGCTTTTCATGAAAGAGAAAGTGATTGTTCAATGGGTATCTACTATGCTTGTCTTAGAACTTGATTGATGTGTTGGTATTTGAATCTGAGCTTTCTTTACCTGCATCACATGTAGCTACTGCACAGTAATGACTCAGTATAGATAAATTCTGTCTTAAAAGTTAGGCAAAATGTCTATTCTAATCAAAACTTTAGTTACAAAATCATTGTAAAAAGGAAGTGTTCTGGAACAGGCATGAATGTCAACTACCCTTTAATTCTACTAGTCATTAACAAGGTTTGAGAATTATGTGAAGAAAAGCGTTCCAAATATGACATCTGTAAATATTATTTTTAAGTCTCTGACATTTGGGGGGAAGTTATGGGAAACAAGTAGATACATTTATTGAGAGCATTTACATGTCTCCAATGCAAAGAACTCCAAAAATATAAAAAGCATATATAGAGGTAGAAGTGCTTAATATACTGTGTGATCTGGTGTATCTCACTAATGCTACCTCATTACCTGGAACAAGATGTTATACTCTTACATGAATCAACTCATGTATATTGTGTTAGATGAATAGCTTTTGAATCATATGTAGAGAATGACACAAACCTGAAAAATGGTTTCTTATGGTTCACAGATCGCCATGAACCAAACGGAAAACCGAACTAACTGGCTCAACCTCGGGAGGGGGGGCGGCTACTGTCACATTGCCGCTAATGCGCCGTGCCCGCACCAACACACCTAACTGTGTAACAGCTTACTCTTCATTAGGGAATATAATAGCCTAATTTGGATAGCTTTTACTTCCCACTGAAAAGGGTAGAGTGAAACCAAAAGAGCAATGTTAATTCTTAGTTTTTCTTCCCTCTTATTTGTTACATTTTATCTTGTTCTCTTGCCATCTTGGAGAAAAAAAAATCTTTCTTTTTTCTAATTATGTTAATTATGTTATATATATGCTTGTTTTATATGTTATGTTATATGTTATGTTGTAAGCCGCCTAGAGTGTTCGCGATGAACAGATAGGCGGGGTATAAATGGAATAAATAAATAAAGATAAATAAATACAATGGTATACACTTCTCCATTGAATTTCATGGACCCAAGGAGCATGGTTTTTTTGTACATTGATTTTTTAAGATAAATATTCAGTATGTAAATATTCAGTAAATTCAGTGCTACTATTTTTTCCAGCAAGTGGCCTAAGAAAAGTGGGTCTTAGGCTTACCTAGGGCCCTGTTGTTGGCGTGGCGGTGTCCCCGGTCCAACAGCAGTGGCCCAGGGAGCTCCCTCTCCTGTCAAGGCAGCTCCACGTGGTGGCCAGGGAGTGTGCTGTGGCATGTTGATGCAAATCATGTGTGTTTGTGTGAGTGAATCAGCTGTTTATGCTTTGTAGGTTCCGTTTTGTGGAGAATAAGAGGTTTACATAGATTTTGAACTGCACGGGGGTCTGGAGCCGCTAACCCTGGTGTTATTGAAGGGAGATGTGTCTAAGTACTATAGTGGTGGTTAGTTCAACACTGAGCTTTTGCATGAAAAAACAAAGACCCTTTCAGCAACAGTTCTGAAATCTCAAAAAATGATATTTCACAGTTTTTCTCTATAATAAATACGTTCTTCAGTAAAAATAATCCTGTCCAAATCTTACAAGTCTTAGAAAAATATACTTGTGGTTTAGCTTCTACTGTGTTTTGCTCCTGAGCCAGGATTCTTGTATCACAGAAACTCCAAGTGAAAGAGGAAAGTCAGGGAGAACAGCCACAGACATCCAAACAATGGTATCTTGCCAACTAACTTCACTGCTGGCCAGAAAAAGGATACTGAGCCATTCTGCAGAAAGATATCGAAGGGTTTGTGAAGGGTTTCTTTCATAGTTCTGGAAAGCAATATTCTGTCATCTTATCTATGGTAACTTTATTAATATTGAACAACTCAGTGATCTAGTTGAGGTTGCAGTCTATCCACACTTATTTAAGGATAAGCAGTACAGTATTTAACTTAGGGAAGGGGAATTTATTTCTAAGCAAATATGCAGAAGATCAAGTTGCTGGCAGGATTTAAGCTCTGACCACAAATACTGCACTGCATTCTTCGAAGCAGCAGTATAAACCTTATGAAAAGCAGTAATGTTTATTTAAAAGCATTCAGTTTTCATATTGCATGTACTATTCTGACCCAGAGAAAATGTCAGTGTGTGTTTATTTGTTTTAAGCATTGTGAAGATGAAGTAAGAATAACATAGGAGAATCTTCAGTGTTTTTATTGTGCAGAGAAGAAGAACGCACCTGTCCTGAAATTTGTTATTCTGAAATGTAATAATCAATGCTGTTCTCCCATTGACTCATGAAACTCAATGGGTGACTGTGGGCTAGTCAAACACCTTAACCCAGTGGTTCCCAAGCTTGGGTAATCTTGGACTATAATTCCCTGAAGCCTTCATCACTAGCTGTGCTGCCTGCAGTTTATGGGTGTTGCAGTCAAAGAACACTTGCGTTACTCAAGCATGAGAATCACTGCCCTAACCCATCTCACAGGATTGTTGTGAGGATAAAGCATGGAGGAAATCAACAGCCATTATGAGCTCATTAGAAGAAAGGCTAGATATAAACAGCATAAAAATATTTTTTAACATTTGTCCCACAAGATTTCTGAAATGGGTAGCAGCAGAAACATTATTTTCATAGATTCTACTGATTTCCCAGCTTAAATATAATGGTGCCTTGACTTACCACTGTCCCAACATACGAGCATTTTAAGTTGCGACCAGATCCGGCTGCAAAATTTTGCTTTGACTTGTGGCAGGAGCTTCCAGTTACGATCAAAAGAGGAAGTGAAAAAAAGGTGGGGAATTCAAATTAGAGGGCTTAACCGTTGGTTGGGAAAGAGATTCTTTGTAGCTCTTTCACCCCAAAGGTTAGAGAGTGTGTGTTGGAGGAGGCTTCGGACTGCCTGGTGCTGCTTTCTGCTCGTGAGTAAGTACATTTACTTTGTTTTGCATCATGGGTTTGGGTTTGGGGGGTTATGTTTCTTGTTCGTGTGTGTGGGGGGGTGTTTTTGTAATTTCTGATGGGGCTGACTGGTGTGTGTGTGTATGTTTGTTTTGCTTTGTTTTTCAGCCCTTCACATTGTGTTGGGGCTGACTGTGGTTTGGTTTTTGGTTTTTTTGTTTTTTGATATTTTTTTTCTGCTGGAACAGATTAATCCCATTCCAATGCATTCCTGTGGGAAATGGTGCTTCATTTCGAGTTACGTCCATCTTCTGGAACGGATTATGGTCGTAAGTTTAGGCACCACTGTAAATGGGTGTGTTGC